TTGCTTTATGCTGTAACATGGCACCTCTTCTTTGTTCGTAGCTGCTACATTAGTACAAGATGTGACACGACTCAGTGGTGATAAGCAGCGTCAACACTACCCCAAGCATTAAAGTGGATGCAGATTTTAATGGTCCCAATAGGCTTGTTAGCTTGGTACATCTGCGAGATGTGCTACAATCCTCTTGGGGAAATGTAATTAACCAAGTATGGAAATCTGCATGTTATCATCCAAGAGAGTCTAACAGACCACCTAATGAGCAGAGATAAAAATAGACTATTCACACTGTGAGGTGAAATTAGAGGTGTTTCATAAACCTTTGGAAGATCACATCAAATACACTTTGTAAGCCCACTGATCTCACCACTATGACCTGCTTTCTTTCTATCAGATGGTCAGCAGATTGAACAGTACAGCCTGGTAGTTTTGGTTTATCACATCAACAGTGTATTGTGGAGATATAATCCAATTAGCCTTAAATCTGTTCAATTTGCATTAAAATGGAGTTGTTGCTTTCTGAAACAGCCAGGATCAGCTATGATCTAATAAATTCCATGATATGTCGATCTTCATGGTGTCTGTCTTCCAAGGGCTGCTTCATGACAGTGAAAACAAATAATGTTACAACATGTGCTCACACTCCCTACATGTGTTCATGCCATACAAACAGGCAGATGCCAATAGCTCACTTGAATAAACAAACTCCTGAACTGTTTGCCTGCAAAAATACAAACCGCTCCATTTTAAAATCTTGTGAAGCACTTTGAGATGTCCTCCCAATGTGAAAGGCAATATATCAAATGAAAATATTATACTAACCCTATTTAAACTCATTGCCTCAGCAACCATTCATCTTACACAAATACTTGATCAACTCAATAACATGGCCCTTTGAAAGACCACCCTACTGGAGATTTTCATTTTGAACATTTGTGTCGGATACACAATAAATAGAACATTCCCGCTGTTGTGCAGGAGTTATGAATGAGTCTTTCACATGGTCTTGCTCACCCCTACCTCTGTGACCTCCTAACCACCTGCCATCCTGCCAGCTTCCTCCACTCAGCGGGCTCTGGCCTGCTTCATGTCCCCTGCCTCGCCCGCCCCACCATTGGCGGATGGCCCTTCAGCCATTCTGTCCCCACCCTCTGGAACTCCAGCCGCAGTCCCTCCGTCTCGCCCCCTTCCTTGCCTCCTTGAATAATAATAATAATCCTTGCATTTGATATAACACTTTTCACGTCTTCTAGACATCTCAAAGTGCTTCACAGAATATACTGCAAAGTGAATTGACTGTATATTTGTGGGCGAAACGTGGCAACCAATTGCGCACAGCAGTGTCCCGCAAACAGTCGTGGATTGAAGTGACCAATTTATTATTGTTTTTTTCTCTTGAGGGATTATTATCGGACATGTGGAGTAAGGAAACTTGCCCAAGGTTCCGCCGTGCCAGGAGTCTCTCGCTTGCGAGGCGAGTGCTCTAATCACTGAGCTACAGGACTCCAACTCAAGACCCTCCTTTTTGACCATGCCTTCGATCACAATCTTTCCTCCCCTGCCCTCCACCCTCACTGATTCCGACCCCCAGCTTGGGTCCAAAACACTGATTGGGTCCAAAACACTGGACGTCCAGCTCTTTGGGACGTCCTCCCAACGTGAAAGGCGCTATACAAATGTAATTTTGTTTTTGTTGTTATTATAATCCCAGTAATGAACCTCTGTCAGTGCAATATCCCCATAAATCCTATGCTCTGTAAAATACAATAGGTAGACACAAAGTGACTAACCAGATTTTATTTAAAACACAGGGCAAGGGTGGGAAATGAATTTGTTTCCTTTCATTTATATATAAACAATGAGAAGCAAGGTGTGTTTATTTGGTGATTAAAGGCTCACAAGAATAAATCAAAGGAAACAGAGCAAGTAAAATATATCCCGGTTTTAAGGCCTTCAACATGCTATTTTGTCTGATACCAACAGGCTCAGAAATACATGCGACCGCTGGTTGAATTAAGTTTGCCTACAAAACAAAACAAATTTTCACAGTGCCTTTCACGCCAGGAGGGCCCCCAAGGCGCTTAACACACAATCACTGCACTCTGCAGTATATCCTGTGACATTCTCCTGACATGAAAGTTGCTATATCAAATTCAAGGATTATTATTATTATATTTGGTCCTATCCCTCCAACATACCCAGCCTACCATCCCCCATCACAGTACTAAGCTATTTTTTAATGAGTCCAGTATCCTGGTCTCAACCGCCCTTCCTGGCAACCCTGTTCCAGTTGTTAATTACCCTCAGTTAAAGAAAAACCTTCTGGTACCTGTCCTGAAATTATCCACTACAACTCTAAATTTATATCTTGTTGTTCTGCTATCCTGGTGCATCCTAAATTATTGATTTGGATTGACTGTTTCAATGCCATTTCAAAGTTTATACAAGAATATACACTCCATAGTGCAAAATCTGTAAAGTTCCTATATCATATGTCCATTACCACCTTATAAAGAAATATTGTCTGGTAAGGTCTGGCTGGCATCCATCTAAACAGTTGCTCTTCACAAAACCATTTACATTTCATAATACAGGTTTGGATCATGAAGAAAAATGAATCACAAAACAGGACAAGATTAGACAAGATTTATTAGTGACCCAACATTGAAGTAACAAGTTACAACTAATATTGGATTCAAAATATTATAAGGGAGCCCATCGGATGTTACATTTCACTGAAGGCTAAACAATCAATTCTCAGATGAACCAAGTTTGTTTTATTCAAGGGTAATGGGAACATTAAAAGTAGTGTTCAAGTCAAATATTCCATAGCTATCAATTGCTTCTTTGCTGTGTGCAAATCATAAAAATACTCACATTTGACAGTTTATAATATTGAAATGTATCAAAAGACTTCATATGGATATGACTTCATATGTAGGAACTGTATTTGTGGGTAAATACTGCAGTCTGTTTGCGCACATCAAGGTCCTGCAAACATCCATGGAGTGAATCAAAGAGAATTGTTGGCCATGATACAATAAGGGAGAAATTTCTCCTGGGTTTAGACTTATAATAATAATCCTTGCATTTGATATAGTGCCTGATCACGTCTTCGAGACGTCTCAAAGGGCTCACAGAATATACTGTGAAGTGAATTGACTATTATTATTATTATATATTTTGTGGGAGAAATGCGGCAGCAGTGTCCCACAAACAGTTGTAGATTTTTTTTTGAAGGAATCATTACCCCAGGAAAAACAATCCGCCAATCGACTAACAACCTTATGTGCCTATGTGAAATCACAGGTCTCTTGTCTTAAGTGAGGATAATCAGATTGTTCGAAGGACAAGACAGCATGGTTTAATTATTTGACTCGACTAATTAAATTATGGCTTACTAAACCTCTATAGATCTAATGTTACAATTCTATCAACATTTGTTATGAAGATCACTTTAAATAAACATTCGAGATAAATAAATAACAATTTGCTTGGAGACCCCATTGGGTGTCATTCTTAGGCTTGTGGTTCTGTGGTGTTTTGCTGTTCCCTGTGGTCTCCGATCTGCTTCACTCCTGCGGCTTAGGACTCTGCTGTTGCGTTAATTCTGAGCTTCTGTTTCTAAATTTTAGTTAATTAAAGTCAATGAGGATTCAATGGGGATTACAAGCTCTTTGCTTTGCTGAATGCTGCATTACTGTGAATGCTTTATTTTGGTGACTGGTACAGTGTAGTAAAAGCGTAAACCCAATGCATGTTATTTACAACCCTCTCTCTAAATATGAACTTGCTACATGGGCTGCGTTTGAGTGACTTTATTAAACCACTGGTGGTTTCAGAAAGCAATATCGTGAAAAATAACTGACTGATGAAGATTCATTTCCACTGCTGTTGCTTTTCTAATTAAACTCACCAATCTGTGCTTTATCTGAATCTGATATAAATACCATCAAAGGGCATAATAGCTTTCAAAGATAAAATGTGTGTGTTTTTTCTCCCCAAACGCAGAATGTTCTTACTTAGGAAATTAAGTTACTTGTTGGGGGGGGCAATGTCAAATTCAGACAGATCCCCTAAGCTTGTGGAGAAAAACAAATTATTTAATACTGAGGTCAATTAAATTCATCCAACAAACACTATCAATGCAAATTATTCCTGCCTTAGCTATCATCAACAAATCCCATGGCATAGACATTTGTTAGTTTAAAAATAAATGGCACTTGAGAATTGATGATGTGACCTTGGTGTCCCTTCCAGCAAAACAGTAATAATAATAATAAACATAATCCTTGCATTTGATATAGCGCCTTATCATGTAATTGATACGTCTCAAAGTGCTTCACGGAATATATTGTAAAGCGGATTGACGGTGTGTTTGTGGGACAACAGTAGAACAAGTTCACTGGTTTGGAATTGTAAAGGGTAATTTCAGGACAGACACCAGGAAGTTTTTGTTTTTTGTTACTCAGAGGCCAATCAATGACTGGGACAAGGAAAGGTAATATTGTATTGTATTAGTAGAGGCCAGGACACTGGACTCGTTTAAAAAGCAGCATGATGCTGTGATGGAGAGGATGGTAGGAAGGATGTTCTGGAAGGATAAGATCGGAACGCTTTCTTTATTCAGACCAATCTTGTGATGTTGTGAAATTACGCTAGTCTTTTCAAGGATTTATCGTGGACGACAAATATTATTGTGTTCTTGAAGGAGGTGAATACCTCCCTTATTATTGGGCCTTTCAAGTCTGGAAGATGTCTCAAAGTTCTTCACTGGATTTTTACAGTAAATTGGACTAGCTTTGTGTACTTTGCAGGCAGGACAAGATTTTAAATGATAAACAGCAACAACAACAACAACCTGGATTTATATAGCGCCCTCCACACCGGACGGTGGAAGGTGCATAAAAATGTATACACATATAAAAAGACACTGGTGGGAAATTCATAGACAAAACCTGACTTACAGCCTGTTCATTCTCTCATTCTCTCTCTCTCCACAGCTCAGCCTGCCCCAGCTTCACACAGACAGCTTACCTGAGTGTAGCCTACACAAAGAGAAACCCGCTGAGAAAAAGGCAAACCCGACACAGTGAGTATTTATCAAGCTCTCGAAAACGTTTTCATGGCTGAATATCCAAGCCTGGTTTCGGACAGATCTGCAATCAATGAAGTCTCTTCAAAGTAGATCCAGTTAAAGTCTGATCATTTAATGGGAACCCAAGCTGAGCTGTGCACGAGCATCAGTAGAAGACGTTTCACTCGGCCCATTTTCCCGCCAGTGACTAAATGTAAGGCTTTGTGGTAAATAATAATCGTTACTATTGATATAGCACTTTTCGCGTCGGGAGGACATCTCAAAGCGCTTCACAGGATTCACTGTAAAGTGAAGTGACAGCATATTTGTGGGCAGAAGCGAAATTGTCACAGAATACATTTTACTGAATTACAAGCAGTTCTGCATTTCCAACTGGAACAAAATACACACAAACAGTAGTTTACTCGTGTCCAGTTAGTATCAGAGAGAGAGAGAGAAAGAAAGTGAGGGAGAAAGACATCATACAATTCATTATATGGTATTGTTTACGTCATCTGTGGTTTGATTTAAAAGCACCATGGGCGTTTGCAACACTTGTGTGGAGGCACTCGATCAATATCTTGGACAGAATCAAGCTGTTTGGTGTCACAATAATTTGTCACATGAGGTCTATGTGCTAAAATTGAAATTTTGTCATAGCTCTGAGTCAAACAACAACCTTCAGGTGGGTAGCTTCACAGAGCCCTGTACAGCACAGCTCAATACCAAGCCGGAATGGGGGCATTGGGTGGAGGAGGGCAGAGGGGAGCAAAGACACAGTCAAAGGAGAAAGTCTCCAGGTGTGATTTAAAGCTGAATAGAGAGAGGAAAAGCGAGATATTGAAGCAAGTGGGTGTAAGCACCTCTGCCAATTATCAAACACTGGGATAGGCTGTAGACTTGTGCCAGTTGACCGTAGGTGGCAGATAGAGGAGCAGGGTGTGAGCAGATTGGAGTGGTAAGGAGGTGCCAGGCAGTGAAGAGTTTTGAAAATGAGAGCGAGGATGTCGAAATCGATCCGTTCTGCAACAAGGAGCCAGTGGAGCCTGGCAAGAGCTCCTCAGTGCTGGAGGAAACAGACAGGTTGCCAATGTCCACCGGTAGGGAGGAGAAGGAGTGGTATTTGGGAGGTCGTCAGCCGGATGGGGATGGGGGTCGAAGGAGGAGGTCGTAGGTTTCGTCTGATTTCTGAGGGCTTTGAGGGACGAGGTAGAAATGGGGCAAAGTAGTGGAGAGAGAGAGGGAGCAGTGGTTGCAGCAGTCGGACAGGTAATATGAGTTCAGGAAGACAAGTGTGGAGGAGTGGAGGGCAGGGAGTGGTGAAAGAGGAAGCAGCCAAACAGATGTTGTCTATTTTTGATGTGAGGAAGTACAGATTCCCTTCGCATTTGGCATCTAGTGCAGTTTATAGAAATCACAAGAACAGAGGAACAGGGGAGGTCTTTCAGCCAAGCTCTGTAATCACGGGAAAGGTTTTAATAGCGTCACCATAAAATTAAATAATAAAATGTAGATCTATCTGAAATACAATCACTGTGGGCTAGAGTCTGTATCTCTAACTTCAATCATAAGATCTCTTATAAATGAATCTTAGTGTGCTGCACTCTGAAGCTGCCTGAGTGGAACAACAGCACTTATATAATCTAGAATCCGAATTACAATAGTCCATTTGTGTTCTTCAGAAAAGTTCTGCAAATTCTAAATCAGAGTGGATTCGGGTTTTAAGGTTTTCTGAGTTTTTGTGTTACATTTCTCGAATTTTACAGTTGTTGAAATTCTGCCCCTGTCTTATATTTTACATCTCATCATCTTGAGATGTAACATGTAAGACGGGGCAGAATTTTTAACAACTGTAGGAAAATAGCTATCGAATTAAGAATTTTTTTTGTCGAAAAATGACCCAGATAATTAGAATGAGTAACAAGAGCGAGTCAAAGCTACTCTAGGCTACTTTTCTGTTGCTGGACTATCTTGGTTCAGGTCTGATTTGGTGAATCGTTGCTGAACTTTTCCCTTAAATTGTAGTGAACACCAGAATTGCATTGACAAAGTGCATTGAAGGTGTTCTGACGAAGGGTCATGGACCCAAAACGTTGACTCACTTTCCTTTATCTATAGATGCTGGCTAACCTGCTGAGTTTTGCGAGCTCTCTCTGTTTTTGTACCAGAATTGCATTTCCTTGACTCACATGGTTTGAGTTTATTTAATCCCTAGACCTAAATTTAGAATTATTGTTGAGTCTAGCTGCTGTTTACTCACGTAAGGTAACAACTGAGGCATTTGCAGAGCCAGTTCATGTGCCCCAGTCCAGCAAAAGCTTCAGCATTTATTAATATCTCACATTGCTGCACTTACACACGAGGAAGCTCAGAATTCATTGATGAGACATTTCTTTCTGTGTCACATTGATATTTGATAAGAAGGAACTGGACAGAGTACATCATTTCAGACCCGAGCTGGAGTTGGGGGGGTAAGGGAGGGGAGGGGGGTGACCGATGGCATGGTCGAAGAGGAGGGTCTTGAGGTGGGACTTGAAGGAGGCTAAGGAGGGGGTGAGGCGGAATGATTGGGGGATGAAATTCCAGAGGTTGGGGGCAGAGTGGCTGAAGGTTCTCCCACCAATGGTGGGGCAGGTGAGTCGGGGGACGTGGAGCAGGCCGGAGCCGGCAGAGCGGGCGGATTACAAAGGGGATAGGAGGTCGCAGAGGCAGTGTGGCGAGGCCATGGAGGGCTTTGTATGTGAGGACCAGGATCTTGAACTGGATCCTCTGAAGAAGCCAATAGAGTCGGGCAGTGGGGGAGATGGGGTCACGGAGTTTGGTGCGGGAGAGGACACGGGCTGCAGAGTTCTGGATTATCTGCAGCCTGTGAAGGGAGGAGTTGGGAAGGCCGACAAGCAGGGCGTTTGCATAGTCGAGCCTGGAGGTGATGAAGGAGGTTGATGCTGCCAGAGCCTGAGGTGCTGAGGCGCTGGCGCGAGCCAATCAGGAGGGCCTCAGTCTTTTTCACATTCAACTGTAGCAAATATGCCCTCATCCAGGACTTGATGTCTGACAGACAGTCTGTCAGGACAGCAGTGGTCCTGGAGTTGAGGGTGGAGGCAGAAAGATAGAGTGGGGTGTCATCTGCATAAATATGGAAGTTGACCCCTATGTCTGCGGATGATGTCACCCAGGGGGAGCATGTAGATATTAAAGAGGAGAGGGCCAAGGACAGAGCCCTGGGGGATGCCAGACGTGACAGTGCAGTGACTGGAGGAGAAACCGTTAGAGGCAGCGAAATGGAGACGGTGAGAGAGATAGGAATCGAACCAGGCAAGGGCAGATCTGTGAAGATTGAGTAAAGCGGAGGCAGTGTATGAGGATGGAGTAGTCGACAGTGTCGAAGGCGGCAGAGAGGTCAAGGAGAACAAGGAGGCAGAGGGAGCCTTGATCACAGATGTTCACAATGTCATTAGTGACTTTGACCAGGGCTGTTTCCGTGATGTGGGTAGTGCGGAAGCCGGATTAGAGGGGTTCAAGAGGAAATGGCGAGAGAGAAAGCAGCGGAGTTGGGACGCGATGACTCGTTCTAGGACCTTGGAGAGGAAATGGGAGGTTAGAGATGGAGCGGTATCTGGAGAGTAGGGATGGATCCAGGGAAGGTTTTTTCAGGATGGGGGAGATGACGGCCGTTTCTAGGGGTGGTGGGAACTGAACCGGTGAACAGAGAGAGGTTGATGACATCGGACAGGAGGGGGGCAAGAAGGTGGAGCTGGGAGATGAGGAGAGAGGTGGGGATGGGATTGAGGGAGCAGGTGGTGGGTTTGAGTTTGCGCACAGTCGAGTGAGAGGAGCGTGAGAGATAGGGTCGAAGGAGTATAGGGGTGGATGGGTGGGGAGTGGGTCATGAGGGAGAGGTGATGTGGGGGTGGCTGTGGATGGGGCTGAGGTGATCCCCTCGATTTTAGATTCGAGGAAGTCCAGCATCTCCTCACAGTTGGAGTTTGAGGAGAGGATGGGCGAGGTATGGGAAGGTGGACGGAGGAGATGGTTAGTGGTGGAAAAGAGCAGCCGGGGTTGTCCTTTGCCTCCGAGATAACCTTGGAGTAGAAGGAGGATTTGGTGGAGGCAAGAGCGCAGCGATAGATCTTGGTGTGGTGAAGCCAAATCTGCTGATGGACCGTTAGTTTGGGTTTGGTCCAGGCGCGTTCGGCAGCTTGCACTTGTGCCTTGAGGGAATGGAAATGGCTGGTGTACCAGGGGGATTTACGGGAGTATGAGGCAGTTCAGGAGGAAACCTGTCCTCACTACATGTCAAGCCCATAATCCAGTGGTTTGGATCCATAAACCCGGACCTTCTGTTATAAGGAGGTGGACTAAAAATTAAATTTGAGGTCATCAGGCCACCTCTGACAATAATAATAATAATGGGTGGGTGGGGGGGATGGGAGAGAAGAAGACGCGCTGCAGGAATGTGAAACCACACTCCAGATCCTACATTCTACTCTGACTGGAATCAGCTGTTTGTTAGTCAATAGCACCATCAAAGGAGAGAACACTCAGCTCAGAAAGCAGAATGACCTCCAGTGTCTCTTCAGTCTAATTACAGCTAGATTGTCTCCGAGAGAGCTTTTAAATGTTTATTATTTGTGTTGAAATGCAGGTCACCCATAGAGAAGGTGGGTAGGGAATAAGAAGCTTCTTTTCAATCTGCTTTATCAGCTCATTGATGGGCGGTCAACATAATTAGATTGTGTCCATTTCTAATGACTTTTGGGACCTGCTTCAGTAAGCCACTGCCCCTGTGTGCAGTCTGTCAATGAGCCTCTGCCTCTAATCCGTCAAATAAAATAATAATTTGGTCACTCAATCCATGACTATTTGTGGGACACTGATGTGCACAAATAGCTGCCGCGTTTAGCCCACAAAATATACACTCAATTCACTTTACAGTATATTCTGTGAAGTGCTTTGAGTCCCTCAACGACCTGATAATGCGCTATATCAAGTGCAAGGTTTATTATTATTCATTTATTTATTAACTAAAATATTGCAGTCTCTCAGTGAGTCTCAGCACTGATTTTGCATCAATAATAGAAGATCTGAAAAATACAAATAAATTATCTAGCAAGGTCCAACTGGTAAATGTTTGAACCAAACGATTTATATTGTGTTGCTAAGAGATAGGTAGGAAATATGGTCCCACGTAATTGTGTTCCAATTATAATTCACATCTCTGTTATACTACCAAATATCAGTTTGGTGACCAAATTTGTTTTGCATTGATGCTGCCCGGCAGCACCCAGTTAAGTCACCAGTCCTGCTCCGCTAAATGTGGACCTCGGTGCTTAAGTGTAAATTAACTGGATCTAAAGGTCACTGGTAACTTTATTGTCTGCAAAGATTTGATAGGGCAGTGATCTCTTTACAGGGAAAAAAAATTAGGGGAGTCCTGTAATGTATTCATTAGAGTATTCGCTTCGCAAATGAGAGGACCTGGGTTTGATTCCCAGGCAGGGCAAAACCTTAGACAAGTTTCCTTACTCCACACACCTCTGTTTACCCAGTAGGAACCCAGTTGTTAGTGGATTGGTGGATCGCTTTTCCAGGGGTAATAATCCCTTAAATTTTTTTTTAAAAAACATAATAATTTGGTCACTCAATTCACGACTGTTTGTGGGACACCGATGTGTGCAGTTGGCTGCCGCGTTTTGCCCACAAAACATTCTGTGAAGCACTTTGAGACGTCTTGCAGACGTGATAAGGCGCTATATCAAATGCAAGGATTATTATTATCCGATTGAACAGATTACGAAATACGGCTAATTTCACTGCAATAAAAAGTAACAAAATAGTTAAACTAACAAGTATAGAATGGGAAAAATATCTCCCCGACCCTAACGTCCAGTATTCAACATCTACCAACATGGGCAGAAACAGAACCGTAGTTGGTTTGAAAAAGCAGGAGATGAATGTTTAGAAACAAGCAACTCCTAGAGATTAAAGGATTGAAGGGGATAAATGTTTAACAAGAACCACGAACTGGACTGGACCTGGAACAATTGGTGCCAAATGAACCAATGATTTCAATCTGATGTGTAATAGAAATAAGGTGGTTTATCACCGAGCCATTTAAGCCAGAGGTTGTAGCTGCGCTCAGAAGAAATGATTTTACATTATTTAATCAGCCTGTGTGGTGAACTTAACCCATCATTCTTATTTTCAATTCAGCCTCTCAGGTTCTGTGATTCTGTTGGCTGGAAAGTACTTTGAGGTGATTTAATATAAATCTAACGTAGGCAAAACAAATCAATCCGCTTTTTGGATGTCACGCGGTCATATTTTCCCCTAAATTATATCCCAAAAGCACTGCCTGCTGTCATCTAAATTATAAATTTGCAACTTGCAAAGTTATTATGTTCCTCATGCAGCTCCTTAATTCTCCTGCCTTCAGATTTTGCTCTACCGTCAACTTATTTTGTTCCATTTCAGCAAAATTCATTTCTGAATCTACATGGCCTATAATTAAATCATTATTCAGCGTGTAATAATGTTGATCTTTGTATTTGACACAATCTTTGCATTTTGATCCACGTGGTCAAAATGTCTGAGCCCTTCACAGTATTTTACGGTAAAGAGTTGTCACTGTCTATTTGTAGGCAAACAAGGAAACCAATATGCACAGAGTAATGGCCTAGAAACAGCCATGAAGGGAATGACCATTTTTTTCTGGGGGATTGTTGGCCAAGACCTTGAGAGAAACTCTCTTCGAACAATGTCATATGATCTTTAACATCCACCTGAACAGGGCCTCACTTTAACGTCTCACCCAAAGGAGACGGTTCACTCACTCCTGATACTAGCTAAAACCTGGTCGTGTTTAGCCAGAAATGCAAGAAAACTCCTCTTAATCTTTCTTCAAAACAGGCTCACTTCCTGCCCTCTCTTCTGGTTGTTCTTCAACTTGAAAGGGAGTGAGGACAGCAGGCACGCATGTTTTGAAGGATTAATGTGGAGATGGTACAAAAGATAAGTGAATTCAAACATACTGGAGCCGCACCTTTGTTTTATTTGAAATCAGGTTCTTAAAATGATGCAGTGCAGGCGGGGACAATGTTTGACCATTCCTCCAGCTATTTTTCATCTGCTCTGTAATATATCCAGTATGTGCCTGATAGATCTTACAGATAAGATCTCTGAGAGCATTTCCTTGCACATCTCTTCAAAGTTTTGTTTGATAATCTTCTCATTATAAATAACAGGTTATATAGAAATTTGATTTAAGGCAACGGTGCATCAGAGCAGCCAGGCAGCTCAGTAAAATATAAGACGAGCAAAAGCTCCATCAATTTACCAAAGTCATCTGTGGCCCTTGGTGTGCTGCTGACTTCAGTGCACATTCCTGGAAATTGGTTATTCTTTCTAGTGCAGACTTGGTTCTAAATGCAGCATTGGGTATAGTAATGCTGAATAGAGGAGCTCAACAAAACGGAGCATGGATTAACTAAATCGATTGATGTATTATGTGTAGCAACACACACCCCAGTGAAGTCACACAAATCAGTGGGAGAGGGGCAAAGTGGAGAGTGAAATATGTGATGTGATAATTAACATGGGTTACATTTCCACCCCCACCCCACCCCACCGCCATTGCTTAGCCCAAAATGATGTCCCACGAAATTTTGAGAGATCGCTTTTGATACGATTTGATCTGCACCTATTAAACACAATAGATAGAATGAATTCAAGGCAACCAATCTTACTGTGATCGCCACACCATGTCGCACCAAAAGGCAAACACTATATCACAATGGGGATCGATTTTCTCCCTCTCTCCCCATTTGAAATGCACAATTTAGTTTGTACCATGTCAAAAAGAGGATATGGATACCGCCTTAATGCAGCACTAGAGATGCTGGCTATGGAGCACTCGCCTCGCAAGCAAACCTGAGTTCGATTCCCAGCAGGGCGAAACCTTGGGCAAGTTTCCTTACTCCACATACCCCAGTAGTAAGTTGGAACCCGTTTGTTAGTCGATTAGCGGATAGCTTTTCCAGGGGTAATAATCCCTTAAAAAAATAATAATAATTTGGTCACTCAATCCATGGCTGTTATATGTCACTGCTGTGTGCAATTGGTTGCTGCATTTCAGCCACAAAATACAGTCAATTCATTTTACAGTATATTCTGTGAAGCACTTTGAGACATCTCGAAGATGTGATAAAGCGTTATATCAAATACAAGGATTATTATTATAAAGGATTATTATGGAATGCGCTTATGTTTTATGGAGAGGTACAGTGAGAATATTTGTATTGCAGATTTTTCTAAATATATATTTTAAATTTACAGGTCTCAGCCTTGCTCAACTGGTAGCCAGAATTTACCTCTATAGCCTCAACCCCAAGCTGCCAAACCCTGAATCTACCACCATCCAACCTCTCTCTCCATGCTAAGCCATCTTCAAAAGCCACCGAAAAACAACTACCACTTGAACTGTGCCTACAGCCACCTCCCTCCTACCCCACCTCCTTTTCTAAATTACTTCCAAGATGTTGCTCTAACTGAAAGGTGCTAAATAGCACAGTGGAGTCCTCTATCTTTGTGGTTAGAGCACTCGCCTCGAAAGCGAGTGGATCTGGGTTTCATTCCAGGGAAGGGCAAAATGTTGGGGAAGTTTCCTTACTCCACGCACCTCTGTTTACCAGCAGTATGTAGGAACCCGGTTGTTAGTTGATTGGTGGATTGCTTTTCTGTGGGTAATAATCCCCTAAAAAAATGTATGACTGTTTGTGGGACACCGGTATGCACAATTGGCTGCCGCGTTTCGCCCACAAAATATACAGTGTATTCTGTGAAGTGCTTTGAGACGTCTCGAAGACATGATAAGGCCCTATATCAAATGCAAGGAATTTTACCATAATAATAAATAACTCCAAATTATTGTTGTTATTTCTGTGTCTTTTCACAGGGCTAGGGCAATGAAGACCAGACTAGGCTGCCTGTCACAGAAATCAGATTCCTACAGTGACTTCAGCGCATTCCTCTCCAATAAACATGAAAAAGCCATCAGATGTCTGAAGTGAGTAATCACTCTTTTTCAGGTTATGAATCTCGAAAGGACAAAAGGTGATCCGAAGGACTCGGCCTCCATAACAAAAGCATTGTTTGGCAAATGTGGGTGTTTTTATTAGAAGGTGAGAGTCCCGAGATAGAGTGCTGCATCAGCACAGCACAGGCAGGTTAATGGCACGATGCATCTCAAAGGGACCTGCAGGGTTTCAGTTCATGCTGCAGCTACGAGACCTGAATCTCCACCTAGTCTTACCCTGTGCAACCATTTTAAATAAATGCAGCAACAGAAATAGTTTGATTCTCTGCTCTGCTGAAGAGGCCAACGTACTATTTTCAGCCATTAAGGCAGGAAAATACACAGAGGCCTTGGTTTGCCCTCCCATGAGCAGAAGCAGATGGACAGATGGTGAAAATGTACGAGATATTCAATCATTAGTCCTCTCAGCAGCAGACAGAATGTGGGAACCATCTGCCTGGCAGACAGTATGTGCTGCGATGGTGCCACTTGAAAGGTGATTGGATAAGTTTTACTTTTTCTTTTTAAAAATAAAGTTAACGGCTACATAGTTTCCTCTTCCTTCAAAATCCCTGATAGGTTTTTAGCTTTGAGTCTTAACATTTGAGATCATGTCGAATTTTGGAACATTCTTCACTTCAGCTTTACTTTCTACGATTTCTAGTAAGAATTGCAGAAACGCGGTTTGCATAATGAACTTCTGCACAATTTAAACATTAAGAGAATTATCTTAAGGCTGAGACCAATATTGGGGATAGTGTGGTCGTGCACTGAGCTCTAACGCAGAGAGTCTTGAAGTAGGAGAACTTAGTTGCCCACGCCATTGAATTCCTGACCTCCATCATATTATCACTGGAGACTCCACCGCAGTCTTTTTTAAAAGCCTCTGAGTAACTAGCCTAGATCGGGAGTGGCAATTACCCCTCGCTGGATCAAAATGGGGAATGGAGAAAGAGCAGGTTTACTCTTAATAGAGCCAGCACAGACATGATGGGCTGAATACTTGCTGCAAGTTTCTAAAATGGACATAGCTCACCAGATAGCATTAAGCAGAAGAAAATAAATGGGTGCATACCCTCACAGGATGACATACGTTCATACATCCTCAGTGAGGAGACTATTCTGATTTGCAACTAGAGACAATGACCAGAATATCAAGTCCAGCGACAGCACAGATTTGTACCCATGCATTTCGCCCACAAAATACAATCACCCCACCTTACAGTGTATAATGTGAAACACTTTGTGATGTCCTCCTGACGTGAAAGAGCTGTAAGAAATGTAAGGATTATTATTAGCTTCTAGCCAAGGCAGCCACAGGACCACAAGTCTATTATTAATTACACTTCTGTCACAAGGCATAATTAGTGGTAAGGAAAGAGCTTCTCATTCTGCTGCCAAATTATACATTGAACTGACCTGAGTTCAGTTCTACAAGCTTAAACGACTACATAACTCCAGATGCTATGAACTGTCTCAGGGTGAAGGGTTCAGGATTGTAAAGTTCATCTGTGAGCTCTCGATCAGACGGTGATTCATATTTTCTTCTGCCTTCAAAAGGCTGTCCACAGAGGAGGCCGTGCAGTGGACTGAATCATTCAACGTTCTGCTGGCTCACAAATGTAAGTACAGGACTCTGATATTCTTGTGAAACAGTTAAAAATATCAACGACATTAAGGGAAATGGTGAAAGGGCAAAGCATTGGGATTAAAAGATCTAATAAAGTAGTGGACCAGGTTTGATGTCCTGAATGGCCTCCTCCTGTTTTCCTATGGCAGTAGTTAATTAGCTATCAATACTGAATGAATTATGAGAATGCTAAAGATCCTTACAGTATGAAAGGGTGTTTCATTTTTTGTTAAACGATGGGTCTGGCGTCCAGTGAACATTACAGGAAAGCTTACAATAATCAGGGGAGTCAGCAAACCAAGCTGTTGGGCCAAATGAACCAAATAGTCAATGAGCTGAAACACACTTTCCATTTCCACTCACACTTTCTTCAAACTTCTCTTCGGGCAAGAATTGTGATGGACAATCTCGGTCAGGGTTTCATGCATTAAGTACATGAAAATACAATGATACAGTCTGTGAAATGGCTGAAAACACTGCAAGAGCAGACAAGACCATGCAAATAAATTCCTTGTCCACATAACATCCACAGGAATCCATTACGTAATATGAATAGGTAAGAGCCCACCTGTTTAATACTCAGCGTATTTGGGACAATACTGATCAATATTTTACAATACGGGAGGAAATTCTGAATCCAGATGCAAATGAAAGTGAAGAATATGCAGTGCAACAGACAGTGTAAGTATTTTTTTTTTAGCAGTGCACGGATCTCAGAATAAATTGCTTAGTAATTGCAAATTATAGACCAACACTAGTGAAAGAATATTACTGTGCAGGATCTGTAGGTCAAATGCTTCAGAGTATGCACGGATATCCCTCCTTTGGCTTCGAGGCATTTTGAACCAGCTGGATCATGTAAAGAGAAGGAAGTCACATCATGCCAGCCAGCTTGTGATATGCAGAGATGGGAAGTGCTGCTCGCTGGGACTGTAGAATCCCACAATATGACTCATAAACAGGGTCAGCCTGAGGTTTTGTTTGAGAAAGCCATGGGAAAAAAGGCTGGTCATGTGCTCCATCACTTTTCCCACAAATACATGTTCTCATACATTTTAAATAGTTGCTGTGTGTTCCCTATTACAGAACTTGAAGCCAGCATCCAAAGTGGCATTGACACTGGGAATTTTGCTCTAAAAGCAACAAATTCCTATACATGCACAGGGACCACTTGAGGCAAGGAACTATTAAAACAGTGCCAGCCTCACAACCCCTGCTGTCATTTGTGCATCACTTCCCGTGCATGCACTCTCTGAGCAAGAAGCGCCGCTGACATCGCTTCCGCCGTGAAGGATCACAGGAGGCGAAGCTAGTGGCATTCTAACAGGTCTTCCCTCAATGCAAAGCTCTTACTAGTTTGGTTTGGAGACATTTAAACTTGGCATCGCGTGTGTCAGATACTCAGTTGACCAAAAATAAATACCCTTCATAAGCAATTATAGTGGAGGTTTACATGAAACACTTCTGTCACTAAGATACGTATGCATGAAATTGTTTGGATTTTTTTATAAAAATTGCGTAACCATTTGGCTTTTTTCCAACTCCCCCTCCACTTCCAGATGGCCTGGCTGCTTTCAGAGCTTTCCTGCGGTCAGAATACAGTGAGGAGAACATTGAGTTCTGGCTGGCCTGTGAGGACTACAAGAAAACTAAGTCACCCACAAAACTGGCCTCCAAAGCAAAAAAGATCTACTCTGAATTCATAGATGTCCAAGCTCCAAAAGAGGCAGGTATTCAGCGAACACTCATGTGTACCAAATGCTGACGTATTTATATTTTACACTTTAACAAACCTCTTCAAAAGCAACTCACTGGCCCACTAATCTGTTTGTGAGTTTGCACGTTGCTAATCACCTTTCTTGCCATATGAAAGTAGTAATAGTAGTATTTTATAGCAACTGACACTATACAAGCAGAAGAATATTGACAGACTGCAGAAGATTATTGGATGCAGAACTACAGTGCACCAAAACAGTTCCTATTAGAATTCAACCTTGATACAGGCACACCATAATAAAAGAATGACTCTGAAACAAGTATAAAGCAGATGAAATTCAACTCATATTCTAAATCAAAATGGGCAAAGTACCCCCTATATAAAAATGTCCATTATCCAGAGGTTTGATGAGTGTAAACACACGTGTACATTAAAGGACCACAGTACACCTTAACAGCATCATTTCCTTGTTTGCTTACCAATGATGGCATGCATCTCATTGAAATGCAATATAAAACACCAACATTCATCTCCCTCAGGAGAAAACACAGGCAGCATTCATTTATCATACAAATATGCATAGTCCTATCATGCAGTACATTCTAAAGTCTTATCAGTGTGTGAAGTGTTGATAGAAGTTTCAAGAAAATCAAGAGCAGCAAACATCCCATTGACTCTATAGGAGATGGCATATTAATACAATCATATCTTGTTGAGATATCAACGCACACTTGTATTAACTTGGCAGGAATAGTCAGCGTGAATGCAATTTGCAATATTATTTTCTACTGTGATCTCTTGCGTATTTAGTGTCTGTTTCCAAGCACCATGGCTTTGACACTGTTTTTATTGTGCTGCAATCTTGTAGGACAAGTTATGGAAAGAAGTAAAGTCAATCAGTTACATTATACCTAATGTAACTCTGTTACTTATAATAATAATCCTTGCATTTGATATAGCACTTTTCACGTCTTCTAGACATCTCAAAGCGCTTCACAGAATATGCTGTAAAGTGAATTGACTGTATATTTGTGGGCGAAACGCGGCAGCCAATTGCTCACAGCAGTGTCCCACAAACAGTCGTGGATTGAAAATGACCAATTTATTATTGTTTTTGTTTTTTGGAGGGATTATTATTAGGCGTGTGGAGCAAGGAAACTTGCCCAAGGTTTCGTCCTGCCTGGAATTGAACCCAGGTGTCTCGCTTGCAAGGCGAGTGCTCTAACCACTCCTACTTACTCCTACTTACACAACAACAACAACAATAAAAAAAATTACATTTATAGAGCACCTTTCATGTCGGGAGGATGTCCCAAAGTGCTGGAAACATGATGTCATATACAACATGATGTCGAAACGGAGCAAAACAAAAAGGGTAGAAGAATCTTTTAATTGGTATTCATATAGAAGTATTATTTATTTCAAGGTTTTTTTTGGTGAAGCATTTTGTTAATGTAACTCTTCATTTGGCTATTTTTTGCAACCTGTCCATTGGTCCAGGTTTTATTCAGAGCCTTAAATATTTGCATGATTTGGGATGAACACAAAAATACAAAGTAAAGACATAGCGTATATTCAGTTACAAGAAACATTTCTGCTGATAGACACCATGATAAGGACCAAACCTTGAATAGATAGAAACATACTTTAACTTTTTGGCATTTTTATTTAAAAAAAAGGCACAAGTGCTCAGTGCCCATTGTAACTTTTTAAAGATGTTTTTCTTTTCACAGGTTAACATTGATTTTCAGACACGAGAACTGACCAGGAAGAATGTCCTGGAACCTGCCCCGAGCTGCTTTAATGACGCACAGAAACGAATCTACAGCCTAATGGAAAGGGACTCTTACCCCAGGTTCCTGAGATCAAAGGTCTACTTGGACGTGCTAAACCAAAGCCAGAGCAACAGCCAGTCACAAAGGAGATTCAGCTAGGCAGGCTGCACAGACCACATGCTCCATCCCTTCACGTCCCCTTGTCTGCAGGATCCACATCACAAATATTTGCTCTGCTGTTGTAATTTATTGTTGCAGTCAGGCTGGGATCAACTTTCCTTATGGTGCTCCGTTGCTCTAAGCTTCCATCCATTGCAGAGAATGCAGTAACTGACATGAAAACTTTACCCAGATAGACTGTGCCAGGCTTCCATATCCCGGTTTATCTGTGTCAATTGAGATGGTTGTATTTTTAACGCATCCAAGATTCCATCCACTTCCCCCTCCCTGCGGTCCATATTTAATATCCTAAACTATAAAAATGCATCTGATCAAATATTACAGTGCTTTACTGTGCATGTATTTAAGTGTTCATTTTAAAAAAGGTAAAAATGTTTATTTCTATCCAGACTTTGAAGTCTGATGCAATGCTCAAAAAAAATTGTATGAACTTTTTTCCCCATTGCACTTTTATTTGTATATTTATCATCCCCCTCCCAACCCGTTCAATTTGCGTGAATGTATTTATTATATAAGATATTGAATAAAATGTGTTTAAGAGGTCAAATCATTGCCTTTAAATCTGGGAGATAGGAGAAGCTAATACCAGATTAGTTTTTATTTAAAAAAAAGGCAACCCGCTTTCACCTCACTCCGATTCATGTTCAGGACACGTGCAGCATATCACGTTCTCTGTTGGTTTCAACCAGAAAACGCTGCTGGCAAAGTTGCGCTCAGGTGCTCCTGGTCCTCAGCTCTCAGCTGCTTGGAATCATGAGAAGGTGAGGGAGCAAGTTGACTGGTAGAAGCAGAAAGCATCAAAATACTTGATGGATATACCAGGGAGGAAAGAATAGAAGAATGTGGGAGAGAGGGGATTAGGAGGATGGAGGCTTATGTGGAGTATAAACATTGGCGCAGATTAGTGTATCTAATTGTAAGTTTCTTTGGGTTCTATGTAATTTTAGGACTACCTGGGGATTTTTTCTCGAAGAAGCAGCTATTTTCCTTGCTGTTGCACTGGATCTGGCTTCATATCAGAACTGTGCATCTACAGGGCAAAAAGGTGAAAGAGACAAGGTTTGGTGACCCCCACAATGGGTTTTCTCCCCAAAGGGTCGCTCTGGTAGAAGCACTGAGCAATAAAGTCAGAGTAAATTGCAGCAGTCACCTTACTTTACAGGAAAGGTTGTTACACTTTGGTTTATTTTGACATGAAGTGAGACCTGCAGTAATTTACATACAAACCTGAAAAGCCGAAAGTGTCCAATAATTTGCGTAATTCATGGCTGCAGAAATAAAGAGTAGATTCACAAAAATTATATATATATACTATTGGAAAATCTAGTTTTAAAAAAATGGGGCTTCAATAGAAGTAGCACAAAGAAGGAAATTACAATAACATTTTGACATACACAAAGTACAGTCACAACACTTTACAGTAAATCCTGTGAAGCTCTTTGGAATTGCATCCCACAGTCCCGCCGCCTCACCCCCTCCCTTGCCTTCTTCAAGACCCTCCTCTTCGACTGTGCCCTCCTACCCATACTTTCCTTGCCCTTCACCCCTCCTGATCCCAACCACCAGCTCGTGTGCGGATCCCTGGCTGTCCAGGGCCTGGGATGTTCTCCTGATGTGAAAGGCACTGTATAGATGTAATTTGTTGTTGTTAATGATCGACAGAATCATATGTTCTCATGAGAAATCGAGTTAGTAAAGGGACAGATACTGATGACATTTAAGATCACACATGGAAACCGAAGGAGTTTAAAATCACACGCGGGTGTTGCATGCAGAAAGCCCTTCAGCACATTTGATCCTATCCTTCCAGAACACCCAGTCTACTGCCCTCCCATTATGTTGCAGTTTGGAACCAAGAATGCGGTACATTCTGCTATGTGAAGAGAAACATCAGCACATAGAAGAAACACACATTGTTCAGTCACAGTCCAAACAGTTCGGCACTTGTAAGTGTTACATAGAACAATAATAAAAATGCAAACGGGTGACAGCCAGTCAAACTTTAATGCTGTTAAGCATTTAGCACGAGCTTCTTTCCTTCTGATTTTCACAGTGATCTATTAAACATTTGTGCAGCTACGAGGGTAAAATGTGGCTTCAGAATTCAACCTTTATTTTAACAAACGTTGCATAGACACTGTTACTTCTGTGTACAGCACTGAAGCAAGTGCTGTAACAAGAACCAAGTCCTTAACAAGCGCAAAGAAACAAAAAGAAAAGAAAGCATCATAACCAAGGAAACTGAATTCTAAGAGGAGTGTACTTTTAAACATGCCATCCACAAAATAAATTGTTTCCGTGATGGGACTTTCATGTAGCTGATTACAGCTGCCTTTAATCGCATGATAATCCTTGCATTTTGATGTAGCGTCTTTTATGTTGGAAGGATGTTGGAAAGCACTGCACAGGGTTTATTGTAATGTATTGTAAGATATACTGCACTGGGTTTACTGTTGTATATACTGCAAAAAAAATTTAAGGATTCTTTAGTTATTTTTCCCCCCGATAAACCCATTTTATTTAAAGAATTCCTGCAACAGCTGCTAGGTTACATAAAATTTAAGGCCTGCAAATAGGTCAACGATTCAGTCGATTCACTCCGGTTTACAAATCTTGGATTTATGGAAGGTAAGATAACAGAGAGCTCTGAAGGTTAGCAGTCACGTGGCAAGTTTCGATGAAGGCATCTGAAACGTTTGTCTGCTATAAAAACTGATAGCCTAGTTACTTTGTAGGAAAGAACAACCTTCCTCTAGCTTTGCTTCATTGGTTGAATCGTACTATTTTTTATAAAAATCTTTCCTCATTCAAATTAGTCGGATTACATAAAGGCTCCAATTACATATTAAAACCAGATGTGAGCATTGTTCTCATTACTGTAATCGAGATCTTCAAACCAATTGTCATGCCAAAGGGACAGAAGGCGGCAGAGGCACAAAGTCAATAATGATGCCATGATTCTCTCAATGTGATCCCTTTGCTGTATCTCCTTCAGTCACTCAGCATAATTAAAACTACACTTGACTTTGGCTCAAAAGGCTGAGAAGCGGACAAGGAATTCAACCGCGCATGATTGCTTTATTCACAGCCATTTGCAGGCAAACATGTTTGCAACCTCAAGGAGAATCAAGCAGGGTATATTGAGATGAAGATCAGACTGCAATTGGATAATCCCCAACCTGGACTACATTCAGTCGATCAGATAAGTCAATAATCTCTGGGCATGTGCCCACAGCACTGGTTTGGATTTAGCATGTGAATCCAGATCTAAATATATTTATATATTCGCAGATTGTATGCATGAAGTATTTTAAATTCAGGAATGTATGCAACTCAGACTTCCCAGTGATACTTCACCTCTTACAGAATAGAAAGTCCAGCAATCCCACTAAGCAGTGTTCAGTTTGTGCAAAGATGGAGTCCTGTAGCTCAGTGGTTAGAGCACTCGCTTTGCAAGCGAGAGACCTGAGTTCAATTCCAGGCAGGGCGAAACCTTGGCCAAGTTTCCTTACTCCATACGCCTAATAATAATCCCTCCAAAACATAAAACAATAATAAATTGGTCATTTTCAATCTACGACTGTTTGTGAGACATTGCTGTGCACAATTGGCTGCCGAGTTCGCCCACAAATATACAGTCAATTCACTTTGCAGTGTGTTTTGTGAAGCGTTGGGGACGTCCTCCCGACGTGCAAAGCGCTATATCAAATGCAAGGATTATTATTATTATTATTATTAAATTCCATTTACACTTTTATCAGTTGCTGCTAAATCTCGGGAGTGGGAATGCGGGGCTGGAATTAAAGGGCATGAAACGCAAGATCATAGTAATCCTTACATTTAATATATAGCCTTTCACGGCAACAGGACAGTGCAAAGCGCTTCACAGGATAATAAGAATCCTTGCATTTGACATAGCGCCTTATCACGTCATTGAGACGTCTCAAAAGGCTTCACAGAATATACTGTAAAGTGAATTTACTGTATATTTTGTGGGCGAAACGTGGCAGCCAATTGCTGTAATATGATATAATAATAGGATATGCTGTAAAGTATAGTGGATGCTTATTTTGTCGGCAAACACAGCAGCCAGTTTGCACACAGCAAGGTCCCACAAAGAGCCATGGTGTGAATGAACGTTTTTTTAAAAAAATTACGATGCCACAATTAACATAGTGTGAAGTGTTTCTGTGGGGAAGCACTAGAAAGAGGCAAAATAAATAAATGAAAACCTCACCACTTGTGTTCAACCTCTGTACAAGTGCCTCCTGCCCCAGAGTTTAATCTTTTATTTATGACAAATTGAAATTTCCACACCTAATGTGAAGAAAAGTAAGCAGACACCGCTGGCTGAGCAGTGCCATGTTAAGTACAGCCAACAGCTTTACTGCTCTGAGGCATCTTGGCAATAAATCACCTGAATTTAAGCCAGTAACATGTCATTGGGCAGAAATGGAAATTTCCTACAAGTACTTTGTAAAATATCTGCCCTATGCAGTTACAGCATGCTATGCGTAAGAATAGCCACCAATCCTATTCGCTTCTCTTATCATTTAGACGTTAAACCCTCTATGCATATTTTACAAAACAACAACCTAATATCTCTTTATTTATGGATCTGATAAATGTCACAGCTGTATCGTCTGTCAGCGATACGTTTCCCAGGAACTTTCAGTAAGGCTTTAAGTTTAATGTTAACGAGACAATAAAAACAGCATTTGGGAATCCTCTATTTACACTCCAGGCTTAAAATCAGCAAATACATATATATATAATATATATATATACACACACACAATTTATAAAATGTTGTTTACATCACCCTCCTGGGTTTACTGAAAATCATGCCCCTGTAAAGTTTGTGTTTTTTCTAACAGAATGGGCAGATTGTTTTCCTGTAGTTTTCCACTTTAGAACATTAGCATTGTGTGAGTAATGTGCGTAGGGTAGGTACTTTGGCTAGAAGTGTTTGCTAAATTCACGCATTTAATACTGAGAAGCAAAAACGTCATTTTCCTCTATGGTACGTTAAGCACTCTGATGGCAAGATAACTAAAATGATGGCATCTACGCCACTCAGTAACAATTATTATTTCCTTAATCTACACATGTACCGTAGAAAGGAACCTATAGGCAGGTTATTTCATAAACAAGTAGTCAGAGTATCCTTCATATTGACATTATTATTTGATAAGGCCCCCAAAATATCCTATCAAATACACCATGTATGCATTTATATGGCACCTTTCACACAGGCTGGTGTCTCAGAGAGCTTTTATGGCAACATGTCTTATGACATTTTGTCCTGGAATCAGGAAAAAGTCACAAAGGGCTTCTCAATTGGCACTTTCAGAAAGCCCTGGCCTGGGATTCTCCTGGTCACTCTGCTCTGAACCCTCTCCAATCCATCAATGTCCTATTTGAAGATAGAGTGCCCCAAACTGTATCCACTTTTCCAAATATAGCCTCTGAAGTGATGTACTACAAGGTTAAAGAGCTTGTTTTGACTTAGTCAAACGTCCTTGAGATGCATTCTACCATTT